ATATAAATTAATTAAAAAACATTTATTATACTCTTAACCATACTTAAACAAACTCTTTAATTAAAGTATTAAACAGTGCTATCTATGGACAGATTTGAGGCCTTTGTGGGTACATGATGCATGTGCCTTTTTCAACTTTTTCATGAAAAGTCTTCCCCTACTAATTCAAGGCATGATTCCCATTCACAAGCATAATAGTGCCACCAACGAGATTTGAAAAAAAAGGGCCTATATATATATATATATATATGTTAGGATTGTCTTTCATTTGTTATATACCACACGTCCCAACAAAGCTCACTTAAGCTACTGTTCGTGAAGAGGAAGATGAGGACTGAGACGAAGAGAAGTCGGTGCCTTGGATTATTGACTTTAGCAGTGCCTATGCAGGGGCGGAGCCAGGAAATTTATTAGGGGGCCGGATTTTTAAGTTTCAAAATAATATATTATAATTTCAAAAACTTACTTTTATATAATAACTTAAAACAGTACTCGATGAGTTTTAATATTACGAAATTTATCAAGTTTACACTAAATGTCTGAACTATTTTCTTTTTAATATAAACAATTAAAGAGTTTGAAAGAAATTCATCTTCTATTTTGCTGCAAAATCTTGTTTTCACAATTTTTATGGTAGAAAATGCTCTTTCTATTATTGCCGTAAAAACTGGAAGAGTAAGTACCAAAGTAATTAACTTGTAAATAAAACGGTAGATCTCTGATTTTTTTGTCTCCACAAACCATTGACATAGCTCAGAAATATTTGACAAATTTAAAAAACCTTGATCACAACTTGTTTCAATCTCATAATGTCGAAACTCTGATATCAAATGAAGTTTCTCCATCTTTGAAAAATCCTGAAGATAGTATTTTTCCACAAGCTCACAAATATGATCAATATTGAAACTCTTGCATCCATTTTTAGGATCTAAAGCACCATTAAGAGTCAATAGTTCTATTGCATTCTCATTAAATCTATAATTCAATTCTTGCAATTGGGTATCTATTGCTCCATTGAAAGTATATATTCGATAATGATGCTCAACAGTAATAATATGTTGTTGATGACGAGTCTATCCTCTCCATTGAACATATGTGGCAAACATGTCAGGAACATTTATATTGTTATTGTCACAGAATAATTTTACTTTTTCAAGTAAAGAATCCCATCCACTTTCTCTGAATTGTTGAATGAGAGCCTTTGTTGATTTGACAAGATTTAAGGTATTCAAAATATCTTGAGATTTACGCTGTAGAGCTTGACAAAGCAAATCCGTGATCTCCATGATTTCTTTCATGAGATGTAAAACAAAAACAAACTCAAAAAACATCAATGTATTATATTCTGCAAAAAGGGATGGAGCTAAGAATTTTATTCAGGGGGGTCGGATTTTTAAGTTTCAAAACAATATATTATAATTTTAAAAGCTTACTTTTATATCATAAATTAAAATAATACTCGACGAGTTTTCATATCACGAAATCTATCTATAATAGAGTTTACATTAAATGTCTGAACTATTTTCTTTTCAATATAAACAATCAAAGAGTTTGAAAGCATTCATCTTCCATTTTACTGCGAAATCTTGTTTTCACAATTTTCATGGTAGAAAATGCTCTTTCTGTTATTGCCATAAAAACTAGAAGAGTAAGTACCAAAGTAATTAAGTTGTAAATGAAACTATAGATTTTTGATTTTCTGGTCTCCACAAACCATTGACATTACTCAGAAATATTTGACAAATTTTGAAAACCCTAATCACAACTTGTTTTAATCTCATAATGTCGAAGTTTTGATCTCAAATGAAGTGTCTCCATCTTTGAAAAATGCTGAGGATAGTATTTTTCTACAAGCTCACAAGTATGATCAATATTGAAACTCTTGCACCTATTTTTAGGATTTAAAGCACCATTAAGAATCAATAGTTCCATTGTATTCTCATTAAATCTACAATTCAATTCTTGCAATTGGGAATTTATTGCAGCATTGAAAATATCTATTCGAGAATAATGCTCAATAGTGATAATATGTTGTTGATGACGAGCCCGTCCTTCCCATTGAACATATGTGGCAAACATGTCAGGAACATTTATATTGTTATTGTCACAGAATAATTTTACTTTTCAAGTAAAGAATCTCATTTATTTTTTTTGAATTGTTGAATGAGAGTCTTTGTTGATTTCATAAGATTTAAGACATTCAAAATATCTTGAGATTTATGCTACAAAACATGACAAAGCAAATCCATGATCTTCATGATTTCTTTCATGAGATGTAAAACAAAAACAAACTCAAAAAAACATCAACGTATTATATATGGTTCTCCTCCTCGGTAAAGCCCGGAGATGACAGCTACCATGGGAGGCAGCATCCACGCCTCTAGAGTTGCAGAATTCATAGGGGACCAAGAGATCTTGATGGAGTCAGAAGCAAACACAAGAATTCTCGCAGCCGCCAGCATGACTGATTTTGCATTAGTTAATACTATTACTATTTGTAATGATGATGTTTATGCAAATCGCTTACCACCGGCCGAAGCCAAGCTGGGCCGATGCAATGCTTACGACCACTGCCGAGCGTCCGATGCAAACCGAAAGGCTAACTCCTTTGATATCCGCTATGCTCCATCGTATAACTCCTTTGTGTTCTCGCAACACCCTTAAGAGTTTCTCCTCCTCTATTCCTATCAAAGAAGCAGAAATTATAACAAGTAAGGTATTTGAGTCATCCAAATAAACATATTTTAATTGAGAAGGAAGAGGTTTTAATTCAAGAGTAGGGGGCTCCTCTTTGGATGGCTTGATTGTCACAGTGGACGGTGCATCTAAGGGCAGAAAATTCCCTCCTTTTTGTGGCTGCCTATGGCATTTTTCCCCAAGAATAGCTGCTGCCTCTAAAATGTTATTGTTTGCACTATCAACTTTCACATCCAAAGCATTAACAATGCAATTATCAATAGGATCATCTAATCTAGAAGCATTAAAATTTTCAGCCACTACATTGTCTACCACATCAATCCTTAAAACAGCACTGCCATCATGATCACAATTTTTCATAGCATCAAACACATTAAAAACAATCTCCTCATCATGTATTCTAAGACTAAGTTTCCCTTGTTGAACATCAATAAGTGCTCTACCAGTAGCAAGGAATGGTCTCCCAAGAATTAAAGGCATTTCAAAATCCTCTTCCATGTCAAGAACAATAAAATCAACAGGAAAAATAAATTTGTCAACTTTTACCAAAACATACTCTACCACTCCTCTTGGATATTTTATGCTTCTATCTGCCAATTGAAGAGAGACTGTGGTAGGTGAAGGTTCTCCTGATCCAAGTTTCCTAAATACATGAAAAGGCATCAAATTAATGCTAGCACCCAAATCACACAAAGCCTTATCAAAATTAACATTGCCAATAATACAAGGAATAGAAAAACTCCCTGGATCCTTCAACTTAGGAGGTAACTTATTCTGAAGAATAGCAGAGCATTCTTCATTTAACTTCACTATCACGAACTCCTCTAACTTCCTTTTATTAGCATGGATCTCCTTTAAAAATTTTGCATAGCTTGGCATATGCGAAATAGCATCAATAAGAGGAATATTAATATGTAACTTTTTAAACACCTCTAAAAATTTAGAAAACTACTTGTCTAAATTAGCTTGCAAAAATCTTTGGGGAAAAGGGATTTTCGGCTTATAAGGCTTGACAGTCGGATTATGAAAAAGTCTTGTAGGCTCCTCCTCTTGCTTTGATTCACCAGCTTCCACACCTTCTTCTTTCCCATCAGATTGTCCTACCTCTTTAAGTTCTTTTCCACTCCTCAAAGTGATAGCCTTTAATTGCTCCCTTGGATTCTTTTCACTATTTCTTGGCAAACCTCCTTGAACTCTTCCAGAAACCATATCAGCAATCTGTCCAAGTTGCGTTTCTATGTTCTGAATAGCAGCATCTTGATTTTGAAACCTTATTTCTATGCTACTAACAAATTTGTGCACCAACTCCTCCAAATTTGGCTTCTTTTCTTGCTGATTTTGCTGCTGAAAACC